CTGCAACTCACAGCTTGTGCTCAGTGATCCTCTTGCCTCAGCGTCCTCAGCAGTGGGATTACAGACATGTACCATCACATCCAGTTTCAGGGGTGGGAGTGAGGGTGGGGTTCTGGGGCTGGCGTAGCATGCAGTACCAGGGATCGAACTCAGGTCCTTGCACTTGCCAGGCAGGTGCTTAGGCTGCTGGGCTATTTCACCAGTGCCTGTAGGGCTTTTTTTTGTTTTGTTTTGTTTTTATTTAATTAAATTGGAAGGTGTCTTAGATCCCATAGTTTTAGCTCAATTGATCCAGCTCTTATATATCATTAATAAGTGAATGATTATATCAGAAGGAAAAAAAGATCAGAAGAGATCTCAGGTTTTTGATCACTCACTTTAGATACTTTTATGACCAAAAAAAAAAAAAAAAACCAGCTATTTAATTAATACACAACTGCTTTGCTGGTTAAAGTCTTGTATATTTATTTTTTTTGATTTTTGTTTTATAACATGGGACTCATTATGTAGTTCAGGTGGCCTTGCATTTATTGCACAGTCCTCATTGGCTTCAATCTCAGAGCAATCCTCCTGCCTCAGCCTCCCAAGTGCTGAGATTACAGGCATGCTGTGTGTTTAGTATTGATGAAATTTTTGTTTTGGGTTGAGATTGGGCTAGTTTTGGCTAGAACATCTAATTAGACTATCTAACTAATACTTTTTATTGTTATTTTTGTGTATAGGTGTTGGAAATCAATAGCTCTTTTGGCTTTTCCACAATTTTAAATATATATGGATGTCATCTGACTACAATGTTTCTGATGCCAACCTCTTCAGAACTAAACAGTGGACAGAACTTCCTAACCCAATGGATGAGCAATCATTCTCGTGCTGGGGTCATAGTAAATCGTGGATTTCCTATTTTGGAAGCAGATGAAGAGAAGCAAGCAGCTACAAATACTTCTAATAGCTTTCCTGTTAAAGCTACACAATTTTCAAATAGTTTCAGCTTTATTAGTGAAGAAGATACACTTCATGAAGAACAGAAGTTAGACTCCCTTGGTCCTCATAAATTGCAGTCAGAAAAATCGGAAGTCTGTACAGAGTTGCCTTTAATTAAAAAGAGACCACAAATAGTGGAATGTCAGGTTACTCCTGGAGATCAGAGAGACAACAAAAGTGACTTTATGCCCAGTCTTGATAGTGATTTCAAAGAAGTGTCTTATAAAGACCCACTTTTTACAAAGCTTGAACAGGTACTGTAGGATTTGGTCTTATATATTAGCATGATTGAAGATACTATGGGATTGAAGTCTCCTATTTCAGACTCTGTTTCTCTCCTTTACTCTATAATACTTTTGCTTAGTTTGTTCGAAGTAGGTGCTTTAGACCACTGAGCCATCTCTCCAGCCCCTCTCTCCTTTACTCTAAAAGCCTCAAAACAACAGATTTTGTTTTCTATGTGAAGCATTAAAATGTGTTTTTGTTTTTTTGTTGTTGTTGTTGTTTTTTAGGTTTTATTTTTTTGTGGAACCGGGGATCAAACTCAGGTCCTTACGCTTGTCAGGGAAGCGCTTATTCCACTGAGCCATCTCCCCGGTTCTATGGCTTTTTTTGTTTTTGTTTTTTTGCGCAGAACTGGGGATTGAACACAGGCCCTTGCGCTTGCCAGGGAAGTGCTTATCTCCCCGGCTCCCTAAAATGTGTTTAATATATAAGATATAACTATAACATTTAAGATGACTTCATGTCTTTAAGGACAATTACAATAATTTATACTTTTTTTTTTTTTTTTTTTTTTTTTGCGGAACCGGGAATTGAACTCAGGCCCTTGCGCTTGCCAAGGAAGCACTTATTCCACTGAGCCATCTCCCTGGCCCCGACTTCATGTCTTTAAGTTATTGTCTCATTTGATAAAAACTGAGATGCAGTGGGGCCGGGGAGATGGCTCAGTAGAATAAGCACATCCCTGACAAGTGCAAGGGCCTGAGTTCAATCCCCGGTTCTGCCAAAAAAAAACCAAAACCCAAAACAAAACAAAACTGAGGGGCTGGTGAGATGGCTCAGTGGTCTAAAGCACCCACTTGGAACAAGCTTAGCAAAGCACAGGGACCGCGGTTCAATCCCCCAGCACTACATGCCAGCCAGCCCCGCCCCCTGGTGGGCTGAGCTGGCCACACACACGTAAATAAATAAAAAAAGCAAAATTAAAAAACAAAACAAAACTGAGATGCTTAACAGGAGAAAAAAGTTGATGATGTCTTTATATCCACCCTTTTGTAAAACAAAGGATTCATATGACTTTCTGTTTCTAGTTGAGGCAGCTGATATTACCTCAAAAGGAATTGGATTGTAGGGATTTGGTGGTAGATTTAGTTGCTGAGGGATTCCTCTCATGAACTCTTCATATGGAAGATACAAGAGGGGAAATGGATTTACCCTAAAAGTGCAGGGTTCTGAGTTCAATCCCCAGTACCACAAAAAAAAAAAAAAAAAAAAAAAAACAAAAAAAAAAAAAAAAAAAAAAAAAAGAGGGGAAATGGAGGGGTTAAGGTAAATGTAAGGAGCAAAGATCCCTGAAGAAGTATAAAGGTAGTTTAATAAATTTAATTTTATATTTGAAAAGCTGAAAGAAGTACAACAGAAGAAGCAGGAACAACTGAAGAGGCAACAGTTAGAGCAACTGCAGAGGCTCATGGAAGAGCAAGAGAAGCTGCTTACTATGGTGTGTGGGCAGCATGTGCTTCCAGGTATGTTTTGCTTACTGGGCCCTTAGGTTAGTGTAAGAGAGAGTTATATATGTACTTTTAGTGGTCTGCTGTTTTACCATTTCTATATTGTATTCGGCAAATTCCAGTATCTTCAGGGCTAGTCACATGAGTATGAAACTGTCATGGTATAAAATGACTCAGACTTATGGGAGTTGAGTGTGTGCCAGGGCCTGAGCTTTGCCTTCAGGTAGCATTTGTTATCAACAAAAGCCAGGCTGCATGGCACACTCCTGTATTCCCAGCACTTGGGAGACTGAGCCAGGATGATTCACTGCAAGTTGGAACCCAGTCTGGGCCAAATAGTTCAGGGGCAGTCTGGACTACATGGTGAAATCCTATCTCAAAAAACTCTAAAATTCTAGATCGAAGGCTGTGCATGGTAGTGCACATCTGAATCCTAACACTCAGGAGGCTGAGGTAGGAGGATTGTTTTGAGTTCAAGACCAGCCTGAGCTACAAATTGAGCTTAAGGCCAGCCTGAACTACATAGCAAGGCCCTGGCTAAAAATGATAACAAAATAAAAAATGTCTAGGGCTGAGGATGTAGTTCAGTGGCACAGCACCTGTCCTGACTGGCAAGCATGAGGTCATGTGTTCAATTCCTGGTACCAAAAAAAAAAAGTAATCCCTTTCTTCCTTTTTTTTTTTTTTTTGGTGGAACCTGGTATTGAACTCAGGCCCTTGTGCTTGCCAGGCAAGTGCTTATTCTACTGAGCTATCTCCACGGCTTTTTTTTTTTTTTTTTCATTAGGAAAGAGTTTTTGTTAAAAATCTTATGATAAATGCAGTTGGTATACTATTTCTACTGAGGTTTTTAAAAAATTTATTTAGTACAGGGTCTCATTGTGTAGCTTCAGATTAGTAGTGATCCTCTTGTGTGAGGCTCCCTAATGCTAGGATTACAGATATGTCACCATGCCCAGTTTTGGGGCTGGCCTGGCATATGGTATCAGGGATTGAATTTGGAATCTTGTGCTTGTTAGGCAGGCACTTAGACTGCTGAGCTATCTCTCCAACCCTCTATTGAGTTTTTATTTTTATTTTTTGTATTTTAGGGAAGGGTCTATGGGGTATTCAGGATCTTACTACTAGATCAGACTTGTAGTGATCCGCCTGTTTTTTTTTTTTTTTTTAAATCCACCTGTTTACAGTCTCCCAAGAGCTGGGATTACAGGCATGTGTCATGCTGCCCAGTCTCAACTGCAGTCTCAGTGTGCCCCAGGGGCAGGGCTGGCACTGCAGGCCTGGGGATCAAATCTCTGGCCCCTGCGCCTGCTTTCAGGCTCCTTAATCTGCTGAGCTATTTATTTGGCCAGCCTCACTACTAAGTTTTTAAATGCCTTTTAATTTCTACTACAATAACTTACTGATAAATACAGCTCCTGCCACAGAAGTTCTTTGGTGTCTTCAATAATTTTTAAGAGGGCTAAGGATTCCTGATACTTAAACAGTGTCCTACAACAAACTGTTCAATAACTGAATAGGACTACTTCTCTTAGCATATTAGTGATTTTGGGATCCACTATCCTATTATTACTATAGTTCTATTTCTAGCATCAGGCTGTTGTTTAGATCAACAGGCTCCAATCTTTTTGGCCAAAAGAGTGGAGGGAAGGATAAGATGGAATGGCTTCAGGATTAGATTCTCATGAGAAGCTGGGTGTCTTCTTCCTCACATGCACAGTTCACAGAAGGCTTCACGCTCCTGTGAGCATCTAAGGTCACTGCAGACCTGAGGGGGAGAGTGGCTGCAAATAGACATGCTTCACTTTCCACATCTGTCTTGTTATGTGGCCTACATCCTAAGTGGATTCTTCATTTATTTTTTTACACATTCCATAAGGAAACTGAATAATTCAACTGTTTTAAGATGCATTTGCTCTACTCTTTTGTTGTTGTTGTTGTTTGCAGAACTGGGTATTGAACTCAGGCCCTTGGGCAAAGGCTTATTCTGCTGAGCCGTCTCTCTGGCACACATTTGCTTTACTTTCCAAACTAAACATCTCACACCACTCTTGCCACCACCCTTCTCATGTCCAGGTCACTTTGCACACTTATTTATCAAGGTTTTGTCTTTTCTCTTTCAAGTCACATTTGGCTTAGAGCTACTGGTATATAAACATTGCTTGATAAATAGAAACTTTAAGGACATAAAGATAAAAAGCTACTTTGCTCAACTGAAGAACCAGACCTAAAATGTTGGCTGGGGTAGGACATGGCAGTCTTCTGTCATATACTACATTGGTTAACAGGAAGCATCAAGTGCTTATCAGGGAAGACAGGAATGACATGTGATTTGAAAATGGTTCAAAATTTTTCTTTGTTTTTAGCTTTGAGAATACAAATAGAATCTAGGTTCTGTACAAGTCAGGCAAGTTCTCTGCTATTGAGGTACACCATAGTTCACAGTGATCACTGGAAATTAATGATTCACTGAATCGTAAAGTTCTTCAAAGAGTGAACAATTTATTAAACAGTCTACAAAATTATACTCTTTAATATCAAAACCATTCTTATCTTGAAGTCTTGAAATAATGTAAATCCATGAAGCTCAAAGTATTAGTTATATTTTTCAGAATCCTAATATTTATTTGAAAGGTCAAATTTTATCATTGGTAACAAATGCTGTTAATTTCCTTGAAGTAAATGTTTTACTTGTTATGTGTTTGAGAAAATATCCATCAAACACCAAAGTTAAAATAATCAATTTGTGTGTCATTGATTCTTTTAACTGAAAATGATATTCCTTGAAGAAGTGGGTAGTTGAGTCAGTAACTGAGTGATACAACTACACCTCACAAGACATGTGCCCAAGGGTTGAGATCTCCTTTTGGTTTTAAGTGAGGGTCTCACTGTATAGTACAATTGGTTGAACTTGTGGTAATTCTTCTGGCTCAGCCTCCTAAGTGCTGGCATTATAGGTGTGTGCCTCTAGACCTGGCTAAGGATTGAGATTTACTAAGGTAACTTTTGCTATATCATTAAGATATTCTTAACTTTTTTTTTCTAGGCTGGGATTGAACCAAGGACTTAATGCACATTAAGCAAGCACTTTACCACTGAAATGCACCCTGACCTTTTTAAATTTTATTTTGAGATAGGGTCTTGCTGAATTGTTTAGGTTGATCTTGAGCTTGGGGGGCCGGGGAGATGGCTCAGTGGAATAAGCGCTTCCCTGGCAAGTGCAAGGGCCTGAGTTCAATCCCCAGTTCTGCAAAATAAATAAAAAATAGATCTTGAGCTTGGAATCCTCCTAGCTTGGCCTCCCAAGTTGCTGGGATTATAGGCACAGGCCACCTTGCCTTGCCAAACTTTAATTTTTTTTTTTATTTTAGGGAAGCGTCTATAGGGTATTCAGAGTCTCACTACTAGGTTGGACTTGTAGTGATCTGCCTGTGTATAGCCCCCAAGAGCTGGGATAACAGGCATGAGCCGCTACACCCAGTCTCAGTTGAGGTCTTAGCGTGCCCTATAGGTGAGATTGGCAGGGCAGGCCTGGGTATTGAACCCCTGGTCCCTGCTCCTGCTTGCAGATGCTTTAATCTGCTGAGCTATTTGGCAAGCCCTCAATTTTTTTTTTTTTTTTTTTTTTTTTTTTTTGTTCTGAGGATCAAATTTAGGACTTTGTGCTTGCCAGGGAGACAAGTGTTGCTGAGCTATATCCCCAACCTATTTTTTCTTCACTGTGAGTGTATGCAGGTAACAAGTAGAATCGCTATTACTAAGGTACCAGGAATTTTCTGCTTTGCCTGTACACCATCAGCATGTATTTTATGAAAGTAATTTTGACCTAGTAGATACATTGGGAGGCAATTTCTTCAGGGTTTTTTTTTTTTAATTTTATTTATTTGTTTATTTACTTATTTATTTTGTGTGTGTGTGGCCAGCTCAGCCCACCAGGGGGCGGGGCTGACTGGCATGTGGTGCTGGGGGATTGAACCGCAGTCCCTGTGCTTTGATTAGTTTAGCTTGTTCTAAGTAGGTGCTTTAGACCACTGAGCCATCTCACCAGCCCTCTTCAGGGGTTTTAAGGCTATACTTTGAGAACCACTACTCTAGGTTGTTTATCAAAGATCTCTTCAGGCTGAAGCTGGATGTGCATTGGTCACAAATATTTAGACTGGGGAAGTTAAGGAAGGAAGGTTTTTATTTATATATTTATTTGTTTGTGTGTGTGTGGGTGGGTGGCCAGCTCAGCCTACCAGGGGGTGGGGCTGGCTGGCATGTGGTGCTGGGGGACTGAACCCCGGTCCCTGTGCTTTGCCAAGCTTGTTCCAAGTAGGTGCTCTAGACCACTGAGTCATCTCACCAGCCCAAGGAAGGAAGGTTGAAACTTACATTCAATAAGAACTTACCTGATGCTACTTTTTAAATTTTTGTTATTTTTAAATTTATTTATTTATTTATTTTTACCAGGCATCAGGATCTTGTGCTTGCTAGATAGGCACTCTGCTACTGAGCTATATCCCTGGCTCTAATTTTTGTTTTTATTAGTATTTGTTTGCAGTATACAGTGATTACATTCATCATCTGATTTTAACTTGTGGGCAGAAAGAAGGTGGAGGAGAGAAGTGATAACTGGCAGTGGAAGGTGTATAAAACTTTTCATTGTGTCTTCTATTCCGGATTTAGTCAAAGCTATCCTGGGGAGCTGAGGGCTGGCAGGATTTTAGGGGCTGGCACAGCAGGCAGAGTAGTTGGGATGCCTCTGCAAGGTATCGCTTAGAAGTGTATAGCAATATACCTGTATACCTGATTAATTGAAATGCAGACACTTAAGAAACAAGATAGATGGAATGTAACAGGAAATTAGAAACTTAATATTTACTCATAATCCTGTCACGTAAGGGTTCCATGATTTTAAAGGTAATCTACAGGGGGTGATACTTTTGTAGGCAGTTAGTTATTGGTCTTTGGGGAATAGTTTGATTGTATGGATAACTGCATTTCCTCCCAGTGGAGCTGTGTATCAAGGACTATAGAGTTGATGGCTGTAAATGTCATCCTCACAGGACAGAAATGATGCCTTTTTGACTTCGGTGTGCTGTACCTCTACTGTGTACACACTATAGAAAGTGGAGCATAATGGACCCTTAATGCAAACTTAAATTCATTTTTTAAATTTCAAAATGTCTGGATTTTCTTAATCACTACTTAACATGGACAAAAATACTTCTGCCATTTTTGGGAGTACTTTGTGGGGTGGAAGTCGCTACGTGGCAGAAGAGAATATTATAGGAAGACCTCAGTTTTGTTGATTTTCTTTTCTTTTTTTTTTTTTTTTTTAAAGATGGTAGCGCTTTATTTTATTTTTTTAATTTTTATTTATGTGTGTGTGTGTGGCCAGCTCAGCCCACCAGGGGGCGGGGCTGGCTGGCATGTGGTGCTGGGGGATTGAACCGTGGTCCCTGTGCTTTGCTAAGCTTGTTCTAAGTAGGTGCTTTAGACCACTGAGCCATCTCACCAGCCCCTGATTTTCTTAATTGTAAGGTTTTACCTCATTGCTTGATGATCAGAGTCAGAAGTTCAGATCTCCTGGAAGTATACCAGCTGGAGAGAAAGCCACACCCTTCCTGCCGTCATGTGTCTACCCAAATCAAACCCAGGAGAAGCTGCATGCTTCCAGCATTTTATCTGATGAACAGAACAACAATAACTGTAGAGAATCTCATCATGATTTTGTTCTAACTTCAACAAAAAGGGCTTCACCCAATTTATTTTATGAATCACAATACCAGGAAGCAATTGTGAAAAAATATGATTTGAAAGAAGAAAATCCTACAGGTGAGTTCCTGGCGTTTTTTTTTCTTCTGTTCTTCACTAACTACAAGCTATTATAAGACAGGAGCTGGTCTTTCTGTGTTTTTGCAATCCTCCTTTGGCTGCATTCAAGGTCTTACGTGCCACACAGCCACTGAGCTTGGATTGAAACCATGGCTGAGGTCACATTTGATGTTTCTTTCCTTTTTTTTTTTGGCGGGCTCAGGATGCCTTCAGGGCAGGTCTGGTTTGACTTGAGGATCTGGGGATTGAACCACAGCTTCCTGAGCCTGACTGCTTTGTTTAAACAGGTACTTAAACAACTGAGCTAGTGGGCAGGCCCCCTTGATGTTTCAGTAACAGTTGTGATGGATGGTCATGCTGACTTCAGGTAGCATGTTTTCTTTTTCTTTTTTTTTTTTTTTTTCAGAACTGGGGATTGAACTCAGGCCCTTGTGCTTGCCAGGGAAGTGCTTATTCCACTGAGCCAACTCCCCAGGTAGCATGTTTTCTAAAAAGGGAGGCAGCACATTACCCATATACTGTACCATTTTTCTTTGAGAGCTTAGAAATAGTTTGAGGTTGATAAAAACATATGTGGTGGTGGGGAGGACTGTGGTATAACAGGTGAGAGAGGTTGTGGTGGAAGTTACAATTCATCAGAGATGAGGGTTATCTTCCTTGTACCTTGGTATTCCTGGTATCCAGCACAGTCCAGGTAGAGCACTGGCACTTAGTACTAGATAATATAAACTGAAGGAGCTTTTTTGGTGTTTCTGGTGTGTTTTTGTTTAGTCTTTTTTTTTTTTTTTTTTGGTGGAGGGTGTTGGGGATCTAACCTGAGATTTCACATGTGCTGGGCAAGTGCTTGACCAATGAGCTACATCTGCAGTGCTCTAGTCTCTGTTGTTATTTTTATTGAGGTAGAGTTTTACTTGTTCCTAGGGCTGGCTTCAAACTCTGGGTCCAAGTGATCTTGGACTTCAGCCTCCTGACAACTTGCGACAATGGACACATACCACCATTCTGGCTATCTAGTCTTTATAAATTTGTTTTTTGTTTGTTTTTTTACCTGGGCATGGTGGTGCATTCTCTGGAGGCTAAGGCAGGAGGATCGTCGTAAGTTTGAGACCTGCCTGAGTTCCAAAGTGAGCTCAAGGCCAGCCTGAACTGCATAGTGAGACCCTGTCTCAAAAAGAAAAAAATTATTTTAAGTCTCAGTCCTGCTTCCTTTTTCTCTTCCCCTTCCTTGATATTGTTGTAGTCATGTCATATAATATTTTGTTCTTTTCTCACTCACTATGGAAAATTCTTTTTTTTTTTTTTTTTTTTTTGGCAGAACCGGGGGTTGAATTCAGGCCCTTGTGCTTGCCAGGGAAGCGCTTATTCTACTGAGCCATCTCCGTGGCCCAGTATGTAAAATTCTTATGTTTTGTATAATACTATTTATGTATTTGGTATAGTGACTCACTACACAGTTTGGACTTGTAATGATCCTCCTGTTTTCAGCCTCTCCTGAACTAGGATTACAGGTGTGTGCCACCATGCCTGGACTTTGTTGTTGGCTCAGTGCGCCCGGGGGCAGGGCCAGTGCTGCAAGTGGGACCATGGATTAAACCCTGATCCCTTGCCTGCCTGGCAAGCTCAGGGTCCTGAGTTCAATCCCTGGTACACCAAAAACAAACAAACAAACAAACAAA